GCTAAATAGCCTTTAGAGGGTCTGGCATGTTCTTGTCCCATTTTTACGAAACAAGGCTTCCCACGTATGAGGGACAGAGAGAGAGAGAAAAAATAGAAGGAATGTCTACAGTGCTCGACTGCCACGAGGAATAGATCCTCATGCGTCTTCCCAAAACGTAGACTAGTCACGGGATCCGCCCACCTAAGATGGTGACTACGGATCTGACTGGCCGAGTGGGTGTGACTAAGACAGCTATGGTCAGCAAGTACAAAGAGGTAGAGAAAAGGAAAAAGGTGAACGTGGAGAGACTAATCAGAAGACATTTACAAGAGTCACAGATGTAGAGATGTGCACATAATCCGGAATCAAGGATGAGCCACACAACACACACACACGCAACACTATGGCTATAACTGAATAGAAACCAAAAAATAATAAAGAACAGTATAACAACGAGCATAGTAACGACTAAACAGCAAATAAAACCCTGTTCAGTACAGCAAAATTCCCAGCCTTTCTCTAGGCGGATCCCAGCCCTTCACCGGGCGAACACTATTCCCAGCCCTTCACCGGGCGGACACTATTCCCAGCCTTTCTCTAGGTGGTTCCCAGCCCTTTACCGGGCGGATGCGTTCCCTGCCCGCTAGGCAGTCAAGCTATAATTAAGTGTTCTTGCAAGAACACTTATTGTTATCTCACATATATATTATTATTATTATAATAGCCAAATTTGCCACCCTAACTCCTCCCACAGTTTTTACACTACCTAGACCAAAATTTACCAAAACGTGCAGATTGTTCCCGATCGGATTGCTATTACTTTGTGGAACGTTTCGCCAAATGGTTCACGGAATATCGTCGTTTTTGTGGCGCAATTTGTCCCATAGGAAGGAATGGCAAAGCTAGAGTGGGAGCTGCCAAAAGCTGAAAAATCAGGACATGATTTCTAAACTGCCACCACTCCCTCATTTTCAAGCCCACCTACACAAATCTTATATCAAAACGTTCAGCTATCCCTGCTGCCACTAAACATGTAAGCGGCTAAGCCGTAGTCCTGATAGTTTTCACAATATGACCATTTGTTTGCAACCAACGCCGTCCATTGACATTCATTGAAACTTCACTCTGCAAGGCTCAAATTTGAAGTGCAATTTCTAAACTGCGACTGTGCCTTCAATTTTAATACTTCAGAGACATACTATGCATCAAAATGTAGGTCTGGGTCTTGTGATTCTCACAATATAAAGCTATTCGCTGTAGGAGTTATAGTTTTTAAGATACGACCGTTAGAAGATGGCAACCGCCAAAATACTCTGACCTGTGTCAAGCTGCAGCAGCAAGTGATGTCATAGACAGGGCCTTTTGAACACCTACTAATGTTTTTATAAATGTATGGTTTAATGTAACTGTGCAACAACGTTGCAATTAAATGTGCTATGTAAATGATAACAGTTACTCCGCCCACTCCAGTTGTAGACTACAGGTGGAGGCAAGAACACTTCACAATTTCCCCAGAAATGTTAAATGCTATTTTGGCATTATATGAAGGCCCTAAAGCAAGAACAGTGGCCCCAAATATATGTGCAGAGTGGTTTACACTTAAAAATGGTACGAGACAGGGTTGTCCTTTGTCGCCGATTTTATATATAATGACAATGGAGATCTTAGCTATTAAAATAAGAGATAACCCTCAAATTAAAGGATTCAAACTTAGAGAAAAAGAATTTAAATTAAATCTATATGCAGATGATTTGATATTGACCCTAACCGACCCTGTCGAATCCCTCAAAGCATTGATGGTAGAAATAGATAAATACAGTCTGATCTCAAATTATAAAATAAATGTAATTAAATCCACTTTTTTAGCAATAAATATTTCCAGAGATTCTATTCAACAGATTAAAGATAAATATAAATTTAATTGTAATAAAAATTTGTTAACGTATTTGGGTATAATTCTCACCGATGATGTAAAAGATACGCTCCAAGCAAATTTTCTGAAAACATTTAGATCGACACATGAGTCTTTAAAGAGATGGAGACAAACTGAATTGTCCTGGTGGGGCAGAATTAATTTGGTTAATTTGTATTTACTGCCTAAATGGTCTTATTTATTCCGTATGATCCCCCTGAGAATGCCACAACCATGGTTATCTATGATACAACGAGATATAAATAATTTTATATGGAAAGGAAAAAGGTCGAGGATGAATAAACAACTTTTGATGCAGAAGACTAGGAAAGGAGGGATAAATTTCCCAAATATTAATATAACTTATTTAGCAAATATGATGTTCCATATATATAAGACACAATTATTAAGTTCAGAGGAAGTTGGTTGGTACCAACTAGAATTGGAGATGACAGAAATGGAAAATTTACATCATTTGATCTGATTAATTAAACAAGATGAAAGAACCAAAAAGGCCTGTTCCTCCAACATATGTTTGAAATCTATATTAATGGAGTGGGAAAAATTGAAGATTAATGGTGGTATATGTAATAAAATATTGGGAAATTTTAACCTTAGTATTATCCAACTAAGGATGAAGGATTTAAATTTAGGGGAATGGACAAGGAAAGGGATTGATTCTATAAATCAAATAATAATGGGTGACAAAATTAAATCATTTGAAAATCTGATACAAGAATTCTCATTACCTTGGAAGGAGTGGTATAATTATTTAAGAATTGGAAGTTATATCAAACAACATTTTCTATACCGACCTACAGTGGGTATAGAAAATCTGACAGGTTTATTAAAAAATGAGATTGTACCGCAAATAGTTTCAAAAGCAAGGACTGCTCTCCTCCAAATTGAAGCTCCAAATTTAAATGTAAATATCCAAAAATGGAGTAAAGAGTTAAATGTACAGATTCTTAAGTCTGAATGGGATCAGGTATTATATCAAACAAGTAAGATAATTCACTGTCTGAACATTCTTGAAGTATTATTTAAATTAATGAATCGCTGGTATTTAGTTCCTACCAGACTAGCCAAAATGTATATCTCCAATTCTCCAATTTGTTGGAGATGCAATGAAAAAGAAGGAACCTTTGGACACATATGGTGGGAATGCAGTAAGGTGAAAATCTTGTGGTATATGGCCTTTGAATCACTGGAGAATATCATAGAAAAAAAAATCCCATTATAATGGTTTATTTCACTTAAATTTGCAATCACTCCTTTTCCAAGATAAATTTATATATGTCCATTTTGTAGCAGCAACAAAAATAATCATTGCAAGGAATTGGAAGAGTAGCGCAAATTTTACACAAACCCAATTATATTCTCAAGTCCATTACCAATTAAACATGGAGGCCCTTGGACATCAGTCAATTAAAATTAGAGACGTCAGTAATTTTTGGAAAGAAAAAGTGGAGAGTATGGCCAGATAAAATTCTGGATAAAATTAAAGTAATTAGACCAGTTTCTCTCTTTTTCCTACATCTTTACCTGTTTAGTATACTAAGGTAGTGAAATAGAGGTGCCACTGATATACCCCAAGAAGAGTTTGCAATGCATAAAATAAATGTTTGTTCTTTTATGTTTGTTATATATATTATATTAATGAAGTCTGGAATGCCATCTACTCAATTTAAATAATAATTAATCGTGAATTAAGTTGCCTTACACGATAGATAAAAGGAACTTTAATATTGGAGGGATGTTGGATAAAAATATTTTTTTTTTTTTTTTTTCTCTTCCTTCCCAATATGGCATTCGGTCTAGATTTAGAAAATAATTGAGTAGAATAATTAAAAGGAGAAAATGCTCTAACATTACAAAGACTATTAAGTGTGCAATAGTATTGAGTATGCATATAATTATATAATTTTTATCTAATTGGTGGTAGATGGCAACACTTGTTTATGTTTTATATATTATTGAGGATGATGGCAATGTCTTGTATGGTAATATAAGAAAAATGAAATAAACAAAAAAAAAAAAAAAGATGTGTCATAGCATTTGAGGATTGTGCACATTTTTAATAGTTTAGAAAGCAAGCTAAACTGCGGATCTGAATAGAAGATCTGACTAAGATACATATTTTAACATGCTGGGGTTACACACCACATATATTTGCCACTGGCCCCTTTCACCCCTCCTACAGCCTTGACTAACTGTGATGATGGGAGAACTCGATTCCTTATGATTAGCAAAATAAGTAAGTTAAAACAATATGGAACATTGAGGCATAATAACAGCACAGGGTGCCTGTTCAGCCAGAGGTGTTAAGTATCAAGCTATGGTGAAGCCATTGTAAGCTAGTCAGGGTAAGTACTGCTGTGTGTGGCCTGATGTGGTGGGAGGCCTGTGGCAGGATATAGCCCTACGTTTACAACTACCCGATGCCCCTCATTGGGTATCTACAGTCCCAACCAGTGGAGTGTCCAGTAAGGCAGGGTAGGTACAGGACCTTGTCCATCCCTGGTGAACTCAGGTAGGTGCAGGCTTGGGGAGTAGCATCAATCATCACCTGGGACAGCGACCCTCTTCCTTGGTACCTCTCTTTGTGATGGGCAGGATCTCTCAAAGGGTGCGAGGTGTGCCGATGGCGGTAGGGCTCAGCTATAGCGAGTTGGTGGCGTCCAGCCAGCTTCCTCACTTTCTGTATTGCAGCGGTGGTGCGCCTGGTGGCTTGTAGCTTGATGAGGCATTGCCGGTGAGTTGGCTTTGCTGGAACTGCACTCCTCCTACGGACTGTCCTCCTCTTCTTAGTGCGAGCGAGTGCATGTGTAGGTACGGAGGAGCGGCAGACCCACGTGGCGTGTGGTCGTCGAGTGGAGGCTTCCTGTCTGTGAGCCTCCGGTGCTTTAGATGCGGGCTGGTTTCAGCTCTTCATGTCAGCAGCCGGAGGCGAGTGGTCTAGCTTGCTGGCACTCTGTTGCCTCTCTTCGAGCTTGCGCCAAAATTTAATGAGTAGTGCATCCAGCTTAGCGAGAGTCATTTCCCTCGGGCCTTGTGGCAAGTTATGGGGTCTTGCGCCCGCCATCTTGCCTTACGCCGATTCTTCCAGCAGGGACATGTGCTGTGTCGCAGGGCCACCGGGTGGTCGTGATTGCGGTGTGAGTGCTGGTGCCGGGATAACCCCCACCGGCAAGGGGGGGGACGGGAGCCCCTGTTGCGTCCACCTTTAGCAGTCGGATAGCCAGCAGGAAGATAGGCCACTTCTTCCACGCCAGCACCCCCATGTAGGCCGCAGTTGTGTGCCGAGAACAGGCTGCTCATTTTGTGTCCAGGAGTCTTTCAGGTGTTGCAGAAGTAAAGTCTGCTTTTGCCTGCTTTCAGGTAGTCGAGTTTGCTAATGTAAAGGTTCTGAATTAGGGCTCTGCTGGAGTGTTTTACACAGAGCACACTCTGCATGCGGCCATCTCGGTTGGCAGCCAGGCCCCGCCCCCCTCACTCTTTTAATTTACGCTCTAAACTGCGCTGAACTACCAGTTAGTTGTTAAGCATTACTATATAGTATCGGTTGTTGTGCCTAATGAGACTAGCATGATTAATTTACATTAAACAAAAACAGAGACGGATCATCCAGAAGTATATATGCAAATTGTGATTTTACCATCTTAATGTATGCATTAACTTTTTTTATGCATTCTGTACTGTACTACAGATGAAGGATTCCAGTTACTATTTAAAATGTTTTATTCCAACCAATAGTTCTGTAAATAATGACAAGTAAATAAAAAGTGTATATTAACAAGATAGTGTATATTTTGAGACATCTATGTGTGTTATATATATTGTCAGAAATATATAGAGGGTATGTAAATACACTTGGCTTATGGTCCACAACCATGGTGTAAAAGAATAAATGCCTAAATAATAAAAGCTTGTAAGCCTGCATCTAAATCTCAGGGCTAACAAATGATCACTTGTAATTAGTGAGTGAAAATTTAGCCCATGCAAGCTCCCCCTTATGTTGCTGCATGCACCTGTCTCCCTGCTCTCTTGCTTAGGATGAAGGAAATCTAACAATACTATCGACTTACAATTCACAAAGAATGTCCTGCGGGAGGGCATTCTATAAAGAGGAAGGAACCCAGAAAAAGTCCTTCAGGCAAGAGTCTGGGGTACAAGTGTGAGAATGGACAGTAACTAGCCGGGCTGGAGGATATCAGCTATGAGGGAGGAGATACCAGCAGTGCAGTTATGGAAAGCTTTGTCAGTAAGCTGTTAGATAGAGGTGTTAGAATTTTTGAACATGAAGTAAGTGAGTCTGGCAGTGGTGTTCATTATGGACTGTAGAATGCAATCTGGGAACTTTTTAGTCTGACAAGCAGAGGGTAACAATAGTCAAGTTGAGAAACAACAAGAGCATGGACAAGCGTCATAGTTGCATCCTGAGTGAGAAAGAGGCGAACACGAGAGATGTTTTGAAGGTGAAAGTCATGATTTGCTGATAGATACATTTTTTGGGGGGAATGGATGGTTATGATCGCTCCATTGACCATCAATTGGCTCGGTCACCTTAAACCTTTCTTCTATTGTTTGCTCTTCTCTTTCAGAATCTGTTCTATATTTTTTATCTATTTCTTTTTATAAAATTAGACAAAGCATTGTAAGATATGGGTTGCCTTTAGAAATGTTATTTTCTATTTAATGTATGGACATATGCTTTTGTGGAGGTTTGATGTGTAATAAACTAAGATAAGCTATCTGGATTTACAATGGAATGTCATTTACATATCAAAAGAGGTTGTCATCAAAAGGCACAGCATAGATGGCAAGCCTTTCCACTGTCACAGATATGTAACAAATAATGTGTCCATCTTTATTATGAAAGGAGTCATGTTACTAGGAGATTAGAAGATCAGAGTAATTAACATCTAGGTGTAACCATACAAGAATATGTTTTCCAAAGCCATCCTGTCTCTAAAGCTGTCCAGGCCTGCTTCCAACCTACCGAGATACCACCTTAACTGGCCACTTCTTACGGAATGTTCCGGTTTAGCTGGAGGGAAGAGATCAAAGGGAAAAACCTGAAGACAAAACTGTGGAAGAAAGGGTTAGATAAACTACTTTTGGGAGGGGAAGAATTCTGGGATATCTGGTTAAAGACTGCAAGAATCAGCCTTTTCTTGGGGAGACGAGCGTAGCAAGCAGGAGTGCCATGGTGAACTGAGATACACTGTCCCAAGGAGAAAATATTAATTTAAATGCCTTGCCCTTTTTTCTATGTATATATTGGTTATGGACTGGATGTGTTTTTAATGTGTAGTGTGTGTATATTCCTTTAAAATCTGTAACTGTATCCCAAGTCAATATTAATAATAATTTGTATTATAGACTTGTATTTGTGTCTTATTTGTCACACATTCCCTAAAGAATAACATTGTAAGGTGGTCATGATTTCTTACAGTATTAACTACTTTATCTGATATATTTCCCCTGTGTGTGACAAAGGGTGGAGCTAAAGGCAAGCTCCCCTTCCTTTGATAACTTGGTTTCATCTTATGTTTTAAAGAGAAATAGATCAGAAATTAAGAAAAGATCAGATTCTGAAAGAGAAAGGGAAGAAAAAAGAAGTATGTTTGAGGTGACCGAGCCACGTTAAGGGAAACAGGCACAGACGTAGCCCTTGGTGGAGGAAATAGAAGGAGGTTTTTTTTGAATCCTGAAGTCATCCCATAAGAAACAGGGAATAGGTAGCCAATGACGCGATCCAGCTGTCGGGTAGAGGAGAGGTAGAGCGTTCAGGTGATATTGAAAGCCATAGGATGACATCAGATCACCAAATAGGCAGTGTAAATTGAGCTACATGCTAGCAATTAGCTAGAGTGAGAAGCTTGTTCAATGTTGACAAATAACTTTTACTACTAAATAGTAGCATTAGATTAGAAGTTTTGAGCAGTGTAAATATAATATTAGATTTGTAAAATATTCATCTGCTTTGGGACTTAAAGGAACACTATAGAGTCAGGAATACAAACGTGTTTATGATCCTGTAGTTTTAAAAACACTATTTAGGTGGCTTCCCTCCCCCCTACTCCTCTTAAATAGAGTAAAATTTAACCTTTATTCCAGCGCAGCACGAGTCTGCGGCACCTCCTCCGCCCCGATCCGCTTCCTTGGCGGAGGTCATCAGAATTGATTATCTCAGCCAATCCAATGCTATCCTATAATAAAGCATTGGGAGGCTAATGCGCATGCGCAGCAAAATGCCACGATGTGCTGATCAGCATTTTCTTTGGTAAATATGTTTGAGGGCAGACACAGTGGCAAACACAATCAAATTAAATATCTCTGGATAGAGGAATTAAGTCATGATAAATGTCTTACTTAACAGCCGTAGTAAATATTAAGAGTGCATTCTTGGATTGTATGCAGGGATACTTGTTGCCTAGTTCTTTTACATAATTTGTATTTACCAAATTCACCAAATTGGGGGAAAACAATTACAATGCCCTTCTCAATTGTGCACAGTTCCTGGTACAAATTAATATGTTTGAATTAAGTGAGCCTTTTTCATATTAAAAATATCTACTCCCTGCTCAGGCCTTTATGTTCTCCATCTTATTCTCAGTATGAAGCAGAGTGCTGTCACTGAGTAAATATACAGACATGTGAGATGTGAGACAAGGAGATTTTGATGCGACCAGTCTGATGAGCCCCAGATGAGTAAACTGAGCAGTCTGCCATAAATTCTACATAAAAAGTGCCCGATTTAGGGACAATTCTCTACATTTTCTCATTGAAACTATTGAGAGATTATCGGCGGACCAGCAGAATTATTAACAACATTGTGAAATGTCTTGAAATCAAATTGAATACCACATATTAGGCCCAAATAGTAAAACTGGAAAAATTCTCCAAATCAGTACTGTTTTCGGTTTATAATTTTTGGCTTAAAATTTGAAATTCGCTTTGACAACAGACATTTTAGTGGATAACCTGTGCAAGTATCAATTTAGCTGTAGTCTTCAACTTCTGTTCCAGAGTTTACTTATGTTATATAGTGTTCACCTAAATCTATCTAGAATGTTACTTAAATGGGGTTCGGATCTATTTGAAAGAAGTTTCAGAAGAGCTAAGCTAGATCTAAAGTGAGCCTGTCTGGATGAACACTTTCACCTTCTGTAAACGTTTCAGCAATAGCTGTAGTGATGCACATTTTGTCTCCTACATGCTTTGAGAGAGTTTCTGTTTTTGTTTTTTTTTGTAAGATTTTTATCAAATAACTTGAAAAAACTATGCATATTGAATGGACCCTGGAATGAAATGGGATTCCAGAAGTAGCCTTGACAAAGTAGTTCCTGTTTGTGTTATATATTCTATGCGACAACGTCTTCCAAATACTAATTCCTTTCACTGCGTGTTTCTTAACCTCAAAGTAAACTGTTTTGTCCTAAAAAGCTTTTGCTTACTTTGGCCAAACTCCAACCTCCCCTATTAGTTAAGTTCTATGAACACCTGCAAGAGCAGAAATGTGTCCCAGCCTCTCTTTTACTTGGTTCAGAAGTATTTTATCCGTTCACTGGCCAAAAGTGATAACCCTACAGGAAATCCAGAGAAGTCAATTGGACAAACAGAACAGCTAATCTAATAGATAATTCCAGGACTGGAGTCAATATAAAAAAAAATAAAAAAATTAACAAGGTGATGGTCGACCTCCATATATTTATGAGCTACATCAACAGTCAAAAAGTTGCCAATAATTTGTGACCCTGTTACCAGTCTGTCCTGGAATGTTCTGAATGACAATGTTAGAGATAATGAAGAGTAAGTCCTTTTGATTAGCTGTTGTGATGAGAGCAGGTGTATAACATCCCATAGCATGGAGCCAAATATAAAGAGCAATTCTGAGCCATGTGGAGCAACTGATATAATCATTCTAATCGTTAAAAGCTTCATGCTCCGCACGGAATATTTTGCAACATAATCTTTAACTTAATGGCTAGTTAATAGCCTGGTACGTAGAAACAAACTACTTAAGTTAACCACCCAATTAATTGAGTGCTGAAGGACAACCACTGTCCCTGAAAGAAATCTAGTTATGTTTCATAGAGTAAACTCATAATACGTTGGTGGTCCTTGAGGATAAGGTGAAAAAAACTAGTCTATATGTCATAGTAGATTAGAGATTGTTATTTATAGTAATTATTACAATTAGTCATTAATTATTGTCTACAATGTTCTAACTTCTTGGTCTTTAGACATAACGTTGGACATTAACATTTTGTCATTTAGCATTACGAGGGCTTTATTCAGCAGCTGAAGGTAATATGCAGGATATTTGGTCATTAATGCAACATAATCACTACTGCTGGGGTCTGTGGCTTTGCTGCCAAGAGTCTTGAGAAGGGGTGGTCTTTGGGTGCTGAGAAGATACCTGGTTATGCCACATTGTTGGGATAATTGGAGGAATGGCTATTTCATGGATCTGTATGGGTTATGTTGGTTAGAGTGTGAACCATATTGTGATGACTGCATGGCTTGTCTTGGACCTTTAAGTGGGTACTTTTGGATAACCAGCCTAATCTGGAGAGGGATATATGTTAGTCAATTTGAACAGAAACCTTCTATTCCCAACTTGTCTGCTGATTTTGACATTTATTTTTAACACAGACTATACTAAATTTCAAGTGCTCTGAATGTATGCATCTAATGAATAAATGTATTCAGTCTCTTTGCAAGTTCTCAGCAAAAAATAGGAATTTGTAACAAAAACTCACTATTCAGAAAATGCAAAGGACAGATTTTCCACAGATGTTACAAGGTTTAAATATCACATTTAGAAATAACGTGACTTTCCATTTTTACTTCTGTATGTAGTTTAGTTTCAATGCAGCCATCCAGAAGGCAAGCTGAAATAATAGAATTATGGAACTGTTTCAGGATTCTATTACGTGGCACTGTGGACTGCTTTGGTGGAATGCGTTGCCACATTCATCGTTTTGCCCTAATCTTAGTTTTTTTAATGTTGCATTGTCTATTGATGTATCTTAAAATAATTAACACTGACTGAGTCAAGTGGTTTATCTTTTTTGCAATGCTTTGGATTGATCCTTGGCAGTCTGATGGAAAGGTCTTGAGACAATATCAAGGAAGAAGAGGTAATTACTAGTTAACATGTCCGACAGGACAGCCATGACACAAAAAGAACCAACTATGTTTTTATTATAATAAGTTTGCAAAGAAGAGTACTATGTTAACGAAGCCATAAGTTATGGGCACAGATGATTCTCGATACTCCTCCCGATACCAAAATGCACACCAATGCAACGAATCAAAAAGCAAAAACCTTTATTCCTTCAAATAAAATCACATACATATCAGTACTACACAAAGAATTATTAGTGAGCTAAATAAAATACCCACAGCAATTAAAATTCAAACAAATAACTAGTGATGTCCCGAATGGTTTGGCGAACGGTTCGCCACGGACTCATCATTGAGTAAACTTTGACCCTGTACCTCACAGTCAGCAGACACATTCCAGCCAATCAGCAGCAGACCCATTGAGTAAACTTTGACCCTGTACCTCACAGTCAGCAGACACATTCCAGCCAATCAGCAGCAGACCCTCCCTCCCAGACCCTCCCACCTCCTGGACAGCATCCATTTTGAAGCTGCATTCTTAGTGAGCTGTCCAGGAGGTGGGAGGGTCTGGGAGGGAGGGTCTGCTGCTAATTGGCTGGAATGTGTCTGCTGACTGTGAGGTACAGGGTCAAAGTTTACTCAATGATGAGTCCGCGGCGAACCGTTCGCGGCGAACCGTTCGGGACATCACTACAAATAACCTATCAGAGCCAGACACACATCATAAAACTCCCAATGTTTTGGCACACACAGGTGACTATGGCAGGGCCTGCAAATTCACAAGGACAACTGGTGCAGGCCTCCTAAACACAGAATCCTGCAAAGGAGCATTATCACCCCTGCCCCCTCCTACCCTTCTCTAGCGCATTTCACTCTGAGCGTTCCCTCTCCGTGCCGCTAAACGGTTCTAGAACCATCTGGCAGCGGCAGCT